GGTATATGAGAGTAGAAGCCCATGACCTCTCAGAACAAACAACAACAAAATTCTAGAACTAAAGAGACACACGTGAAGAAGGTCAGAGGTTATACAGAAGAAGACAAAAACCAACCAAAAGGAATTAGTTTGAACCAACCCACATATAATCTTTGATCTATTGTATCTAAAGCATGTATAAAAACACCCATTAAGTGGAATAATTAATTATTCACTGAATTATTCAAATAAGTATCTACATTGGTGTTATGCTGCTCTGGTCATGTTTGTTTTCCAGTCCTACTCAGATGTATATTGCTTTTGATAATCTTCAAGGAGTTTTGTACAATATCTTTTCATTGACAGCTACTTTCTTCATTTTTCATTTTTTGCAAAGAGGTGAAAAAAAAAACATTAAAAAAAAACATTAAAAAATGGTGTGAATAAGATTAACACATGATTTTGCCCAAAACTCTTTGAAAATTACCTTTGAGGAAAGCAAGAGAGCACAGTGGCTCAAATTTTATAATTAAAACAACAAAGATAAGGATATTACTATGAACAAGACTTCATCTTTGATTTCCAGACAATATTCTATTAATATTAAAAGTAAAGAATAAGTTACTAAAATATGACCTTTTTTTACTTATCATCTTGGACCTGAGTAGAAAATTACTTTTAATGTCCAGAGAATATAATTCATGTAGTTTTAATAAGTGTTCTTGGATACTAGTAATAAAAAAGCATTACTTAAACTGACTTAGTCTGCTCGTAAAAAAAGAGAATTGAGGGTGGATATTTTTGTAGATTAGCTTTCATTAGACATTCCTCAAGCCAAAACATTTGTCAGAATTAAAAAATATTGATTTTTTATCATTTTAGAAATGATAATCCTGTTGAAATATAGTGCCAAATCAATCCCTGATTTATTAAGGAATTATCTGTATTTTGTTTTTATTTACAAATATCAAGTTTAAATTACATTATTGATAGCTGTTTATTCCTGACTTTGTACTTTTTCTCAATTTTTAATAGTATGCAGTTGTTAATGATGTAAGCACAATTTCAAACTTAATATTTGTAAATAAAAGCAAAGTACAGATAACTCTTTAAGAAGTCAGGGTTTGATGTGACACTCTGATAAATATTATGGTTTTAGGAAAGCCTAATGAATATTCATCTAGAAAGACTGTTAAAAAAATTCTTCCCTGTTCTTTATGAGCAGACTAGTCAATATAAGTTATGCCTAAAAATATGGCAATAAAGGAAAGTCTCTCAACACAAACACGCACACACATACACACACACATGTGTCATTCAAGATAAAGTCATGAAGGACATAATTTATGTTCTTATTTACTTGAGAATTGTATTAAAAAGTGTGAGTCAATCTGGTGAACTAAACAACATTTAATACTTCAAAAGTCAGGTCTTTTGATACGTTGTTGTGAAAGTACCAAACATATTTGCTTAAGAAAATAATAAAAACAAATATTAGATAGGTTTGCATCTTTTTACAGTTACACAGCCAAAATTAGAAAAACACCACACATACACAATTTAGTCCTAAAGGAAGAAATGCCTCACACTAAAGCATACATATGTATATATAGTTTGAACAAAGAAATCAACTTTTCATGTTGACTGTCAGTTTCATGCCTCAAGCAATCACTATAGTTTGAAAAACTGCTTATATATATATTTATATATATTCATTCAAACCATACCAATTGCTTTTATATACACAGACACACAAATGTATATATAGACGTCTAGCCACACTGATGAGCTGTGACACAGCGAAACAGTTTATCTGTGGATGACATATATATATATATATATATATATATATATATATATATATATATATATATATAAAGGTTTTGCATAGACATTATATATCAGTTTCACACATGATTTCTTTTATGCAATATTGATTTCTATATCCACATTGGGTATATCTACAAACACTCTATTCCCCGATATTGGGCACTATTTCCTCATAAATATATTACATTTAATATATATATATATATATATATATATATATATATATATATATAGATAGATAGATAGATAGATAGATATCATACCTATATACATAGGTCAATCAATAAATCCATAGGTAAATCATGACATTTATTTTAAACAACAAATTTAATCTCCTCCTTGTCAATGCACTTAACCTAATGGTTCTATATAGATCACATAGCTTGAATATTATATGATGAAAGTTTCAGGTCAAAATTCAGGTTTTTATATATATATATATATATATATATATATATATATATATATATATATATATATATGTATATATATATATGTATGTATGTGTGTGTTTGTGAATGTGTATCCAAATGTTTATATGTGTATATACACACACATATATATATATCTATATGTATATACAGAATATTGAAGGAACAAGAAATTGTATTAAATTCAGCCAACAAGGTCTGTTTTAATTTTTTATTAATTCTTTTAAATTTTTGAATAAGTTGTCCATTCAAATATAAATTGTGAATAAACTGTGCAAAGTTCATATTTTCATTCTGTTTTTGTTCCAAGTATTTTTGACCATCTCAGTCATTGTCAAGAACTAAATGTTGTTGGTATGGTAGATAATATTTTGCAGGTTATATTATGGCATTTTTGTGATGCTTATTCCAATACACTTAATGTGAATTGTTGAAGTGGCAACATTTGGTTCATGATAATGAATAAGATGGCTGAAAATACAGTAAGAAAAATAGAACAAAAACTTGAATTTGGACGGTTTAACCAGTATATGGATTTGAATTTTTTAATAATTTATTGAAAAAAATATTGAAAAAATACAACAAAAATTAAACAAACAGAAAAAACGTACTGACTGAATTTAACAAAACTTATGTACATATATCTATATCTATATAATTTATATGATTATTCTAGAAATATTACTTTATCTACACATAATAAATCTAACATAACTGAATTTACAATTGTAATTTGAGAAGTTCAAACCCTAACCAACTTCCAAAAAAAAGCATTTCAATGACTTCAACATCAAAATATTCATTTCAGGAAAGAGGTAAGGATGAGAACTTTTGAACAACCTTCATATATTTATACAATTTAAGTCTAATGCAATCACATACACACACATACATACAATATATATATATATATATATATATATATTTAAGTTATGAAAAACTTGTTAATCCATATGGGTAGTCCCAAGGAGGATGAAATCCTGAGAGCTCATTGTAAATTCAGAGCTAATATTTTAAAGAAAAATGAAATATTTATATATATATATATATATATATATATATATATATATATATGCATTTGTGTGTAGATAGAGAGTGTGTATGTGGACATAAGAAAAATACTGAACAGTAGTTGTCATAGTTTGAATATCATTTGAGGCATTAAATTGACAGTTATCCTACACCTATATCCATACTGTCTATATTTCCAAACACTCTAGTTCTGATATTAAGTACTCTTCCCCTACAAATATGGCACATTTTAAGTAATATTGGTCAATTTCAGAGTAGACAATATCCATAGTTGGTTCATATAAGAAGAAATGTTATTATATATGTATGTGTGTATAGCTTAGATTATATATATATATATATATATATATATATATATATATATATATATATATATATATATATAAAGTCTTAAATAGAATTACATTGGTTTATTATTTAGTGTTTACTGCCCAAATGAAAGAAGGAAAAATAGATCAATCAAACTTCCATTAAAATCAATGTCTTGTTGATAATTAACTAGTTAACTTGATTAAATATTAAAAATATTAAAATATTAACAATATAGTTTGGTTTAGCATAAATTTTCTCTCATAGAAAAGTTGATATACAGATATACATACAGATATGTATTTGTTTATATATGTATATGATTTACATGGACAGTTTATATATATGTGTGTGTGTGTGTGTGTGTGTGTGCGTGCATACATACATGCAATCAATTTGATGTTTGTAAATGAAATAATTTTAAACAAGTTGAGGTTTGTGGATGTGCAAAGGCATTTCTCTCACAGTGTCAACCTTACCTCATTATCCCCCATTGTACAAAAGTATATATATATATATATATATATATATATATATCCCAGTTTAGAAAAGAAAATTAATTGCAATAATATGAACATATTTTATATTTTCATGATTATTTGATTTTTTTTTAACTATATGTGCACATACTGGCTGGATACACAAAGGTCAAATAAAAAAAGTTCTTAAAGAACTTAAACCAAAATTAGTTAACAAATAATTATTCTTCACTAAGTTTCATAATGGTTCTCAACTGACTTGCAGTTAGTTTATTTAATTTTTACTTTACTAAAACAAAAAATTAAGTCAGTACCTGATCAATATTCAAATTTGAAAGTAAAAGGAAATCACATTTTTATCATTATTTCTTAATTGAGCTTTTCATGAAGTTTTGATTTTTACTTTAAATAATTCTTGAAAAAAATAATCAGGTTTTTTAACATTATAACAATTTTGGTATTCATGTTATTGTGACAAAAGTGATTTTTCTTTTGTATCTAAATCATATTTGCATAAACATAAAAGGTTTATTAAGGAGAAGAGGAAAATTTATATACAAAATTGTTAAAAAAATTGAAAGAATTTATCTTTTTCTTCTTTCTCCTTTTCTTTTTTTTTTTTCACTTTGTTTAATTACAGATAGTATGGAGGACATTTCCAGAGAAAGATTCAGTTTCCTTGAACTGAATCATCTCTCATAAATTTATTATTCATCAACTGATTTTTTCTTTAAAATCAAAGATGCAAAATCATTTCAAGAATTTTGTCAGACATCTTATTCAAAATGGCTGACTTAAACAAAAGAAAAATAGATAAACAATTTTAATATCTGCTGGAATTTTCATACAGAATTCTCTTTTTTTTTCTTTTTTTTTTGAATATCTTCCAGCAAAAATCAAAGAAATAATTGATTTTAATATAGTCTATCTCTGCGTCCCATTAAATTTGCTGCTGCTCTTCATATGGCAATTCCTCAACTGTCTCTTCAATAATACAATCTTGTGGGTCTATCATAATTTGCTTCTGGAATTCTTTCCGTCTCTTAGCAATTGGAGGAATGAAGAGTATGAAATGCAAAAGGCCACCAATAATGATGAGTATCCCACCCACAATAAAAGCCATATGATAGCTGTTTGTTTTATCATATATTGCACCTGAAAAACAAGAATAGTTAAATACTTGAATTTAATACACTTTTATGGATACTTAAAAAATTACTTTTACTTGCAAGACTTACAGATTTGATAAAAAAAAACAATTATAAAAGGAACTCATCAAAAAATTCATCTTAAGCCAAGAAAACATTCACATGGAAACTTATTTCTTGAGTGCAGCAACCAAAAATAAGAATTTTATTGAAAGAATTTTATCAGTCAAACATTTTGTTTTCTATAAATTTAACTATATATGCAATCAATTTTATGTTTGTAAATGAAATAATTTTAAACAAGTTGAGGTTTGTGGATGTGCAAAGGCATTTCTCTCACAGTATCAACCTTACCTCATTATCCCCCATTGTACAAAAAATATATATATATATATATATATATATATATATATATATATATATATATATATATTATTGAAAGAATTTTATCAGTCAAACATTTTGTTTTCTATAAATTTAACTACAAAAATAGTACAAATAAAAATAAATTGATATTTAATAAATTCAACTTAGCATAGCACAAGGGGAATTGTTGGAAAAGGAAGACTGTATGGCACCAATTTTCCATATAGTGAAAGTTTAGAAAATCAGAAATCAAAAACAATGGAGTTTTCCTGCACTCAAATACAAATTTCTGTCACTGGTGGAGAAAAATAACAACTATTTCAGCCGTTAGCCTGTGATTTAGTTTTATTAATTTTGAATGATGTACTGCTATGAAAAACTTCCAAATTATCTTCCTCACCCCTAATGTCTTTGTATTTAAGCCTAAGCAAATTTAGTTCATATCTCTAACTAAACCTAGAGTATTTCTTTAAATACACTGATTTATATAAAATACTTTTCCCACATGATTTACAATGTTCAAAAGCTACATTATTTGTCTATATAATTATTTTGTTTTTGCTTTAATTGCTTAATATATTCAGTGGTATTGTGTGACCAAAGAAATAATGGCTTGTATGATCAAAGGAAATGTCTATTATAGTTTGTGTGATCAAAGAACATGTCTACCATAATCGTTAACATGGCATAATTAAGGAAGGCCACAACAATTGTGTGATGAAGTAAGAACATGTTACCAGGTGCTGATGTAGATCAGGACATATATAAAAGTCACCAAAGATTCATATTAGCATTTGCACTCAGGTTCTTCTTCCCTGTCTTTGGAAGAATCAGATGATTTGAAATAAAACCTAGTTCATTTTTTGATCACTCTTTCTCTCTTTATCCTATGTTCAAATAAATCAAGCATTGCTATTAACTATAGAGCAATGGACTGTATTGTGTTTTGCTACTAATACTACAGTCATGACAGAAGATCACTTGCTAATAAGATAAGAGTTCACAGATAATGTCATATATGCAGGAATAAAGAGCAAGGTATTTTTTATTGTAAATTCTACAGAAGATTATATATTTTTATTTAGGTAAGATGGGAATGACTAGAGTACAATTCCAATGTTCATAACATTTAATTTAAAAGAGGGTTCAGTACAAAGTAGAGCAATATTCTTTATTTTAGGATATTACATCGAAAACATGTCATATTTTTATTTATATATATTTATAATAATATGTATGTATTGCATTTGGTACCAGACCAAATATTTACTAAACTTGTCACTACAAGTTCTTCACTAAGACCCAACATATAGTAATAATTAACAAATTAATTTCAGCATATAAATTCAGTTTTAAACCAAAGTTAGCTTAGCCTTATCTACAATTGCTGATCACAGAGAGTTTATCATAGAATAGCCAAAACAATTTTTTATATTTGAACAAGGTTAATCATTGTGACAAATTAACCTAATACATCTTATTGTATATCCCATAGAAAAGATATTTTTAAGGACAAATATGACTTAATAATGGATGTAAAATAGAAAGAAAGCCATTTATTTTTATTATTTTGGAATGACAGGGCCTTTTAGATAACCAGCTGATAACATTAAATAAAGGATATAAAAAATTGAAATAATATATATTTATTAGTATTAAACTTGTTATAAACAACTTTGCATTAAGAAAAAAAATTAATACAAAATTTATTGATAAGAAATTATTATTTATTTGACTTATTAAAATTTATGAATAGATGGCAGAACATGGACAAAGAGGATGGTCAAAAGTTATTTAGAACAACAAAAGAAAAGAAATTGTGGAGGGCCATGAATATCCAAATCCTGAATGGACATGACCCATATAATAAGAAATTATAAATTGTTTGGGATTGAGTGATTTTAATAACAATCAATTGATGACATTATCCTCAGTGATTATAATGTCTTCCTTTATATATAGAATCCGAGAGTGGGCTGAAAAGTTCATAGCCTGACTATGAAAGAGTGATGCTAGAACTATGAAATCATGCATGCATTAATTTCAACTCCCTAATAACTGAAATGTTTCTTTCTTGGTACAAGTGTGGGCTGAAACATTCATAGGCTGACTATGAAGGAGTAATGCTAGAACTGTGAAATCTTGCATGCATTAATTTTAGCACTTCTTATTAATAACTGCATTGTTTCTTTCCAGGTAAGCTGACAGCTGACTCTTCAAAGAAGACTTCAAAAGTAACTAGTAGTGATTTCTCTTGAAAATGGACAAAATTTGGAAGCATTGTGATGTTATCAAGTATCTGTAGAAAAAGGGTTTAGCTCTCTAAGGACATTCATATTGACATGATTGCTACATTAGAGGATGATGCTCCAGCTTTACCAACAGTGCAAAAGTGGGTTGCTGAATTTAGGTAGGGAAGAGAGAGTCTTGAAGATGACCCAGAATTTTGACATCCTGCAACTACCACCACCAAGGAAAACATTGTGTTCACAACATGATGATGGATAACAGACAATTGACTATAAACCAAACAGCCAATGCTATTAGCACATCTCATGAGAGATTTGAGAATATTCTGCACAATGAACTTGGCATGATGATGGTTTCTGCTCAGTGGGTGCCATGTCTTCTGACACCTGATCAAAAGTGCACCAGGCTGATCACATCATGGGAAAATTTGACAGATCCAATTGATTGCCTTGAATGTTTCCTAACCCAGGATGAGTTTTGGGTTCATCACATCGAGACAGAAACAATCCATGAAATGGAAACACTTCCTCCTCACTTGCTCCAAAGAAAGCCAAGGTCATTTCATCTACAGGGAAAGTGATGGAGAGTACTATGCCCACTTACTGAGGCAGTTACAAAAGGTTATCAAGACGAAATCCCCAAGAAAACTGACAAAAGGGATCTTGTTTCACCAGGACAATGCTCCAGCACATAAGGCCTTGACTTCAATGGCTGCTGTGCCTAACTGTGGCCTTGAACTGGTTGATTGCCCTCTCTATTCTCCTGATTTGGACCCATCTGACTATCATCTGTTCTCCAACAAGAAAAAACTTAGCTGGGAACCAGTATTGTAGTGATGATGATGATGTCATATCTGCTGTTGATGACTTTATTGATCAACAGGCTGAAATCTTCTTCAGCAATGGGATCCAAGCGCTGCAAATCCAATGGAAGAAGTGTGTTGATCATAAGGTACACAATATTGAAAAATGAACCTTTAATGGTCACATTCCATGAAAGTATCTTGGTCAATCTTTGAATTTTTCAGTCAACTCTCATAAATTTATTAAGACTAGAGTAAAAAAAAGTACAAATATCCATATTTTGAAGTTTTAATTTTGAACAAAACTAAAAAATAATTTTGGAAAAAAGAGTAATTATAAGTAATTATATTAAACTAGTAAAATTTACAAAAATTACATGAGTTTACATATTATAACTCTAGTTTACTTCCTTTGATTTTAATTTTTTAAATAAGTAATTATTTTTATTATAATAATAATAATAATAATACTAATAATAATTATTATTATTATAATTTACACTGATTGTACTCAGACAGGTATGCTCATTTTGATTGTTATAGTCACACATTTTAGCCATTATACCATGTGAACAATTTCAAAAATTTGTCACAGCTGGTTTTAAGGAATTTTCAAACTCGTTATTCAATCCATAGAGCCAAATTATTCTCATTACACAATTCATGTTTAATGATTCAGCTGTTGTACCTTCCAACCTTCTTTACATGTTTGTCACAGTTAGCAACCTTTCAGAAATTAAGCCAAATCCTTTATTTAATTAATAGGGATAGATTGTTTCTTTTCTGTTTTCTATGTTTAATATTTCAACTACTAAATCCTCTAGCCTTCTCAAGTGTCTGTTATAGTTGGTATAGTTCCAGGGATTTTTAACTAAATATGTGATTATAACAACCAATAAATCTTGTTTTTGATTTTACATGTTATTCAAGCATATTTTCATCTTTGTCGTTAGTGCAATGTTTCTTGGGTGTTTTTTAAAGACTACCAGATTCAATAAACATCAGTAAACCAAAGAATATGCAGTGTTAGATAAACAAATATAGAGATATTAGGAAAATATACAGAATATAGAATAATGAAAAAACTTTATCTCAGCACTCCAGGCCATGCAAAAAGGTCAAAAGAATATATCACTCATAATGTGATAAAAACAATAATGATGAGGATAACAGAATAATATATGGAATAATGAAGATAATTAATGAAGAAATTTCTTACCTGCCAAAGGTGGCCCTAAAATAGTGGAAATCCCTCGAACCAGTGAGAGCAACCCAAAAGCATTGGTCAGTTTATCCAGCCCAAGGAGATCACAGATGATAATGGATGTTAATGAAATGAAAGCAGCTGAAATACAAAATAAAAAAAATCCTTATTCCTTATTTCAACTATTTAACAGAAAAAACAACAATTGTTATTTTTCTTTATTTTAGCAATAAAGAAATGGAGTGCTTTGCATGTCTCTTTATTGTCATAAAATCTGTTTTATTTTTATTAAACTAGAAAAAATAGTTGTTTTTCTATGGGATTAATGTTCACTATTTATGAAATGTTGAAGGAATTGTAGACATTCAATATATTTGTTCAAAGAATATGACTGTAAAGATAGAAGAAATAAATTGGTTGGGTGAGGGGGGGGCAGGCTTGTTAAGGAAACATTTACAAATTATACATGCCAACTTGTTGAAGGCCAAGTAAAATGCAAATTTTCTGCACTATATAAGACAGTATTCCTAAACAGAACTATTTTTGATATGAAAATCAAAACAATCCTTGAATAAAAAGACAGTAATGAAGAGCAGTTGATAACTGAAATAAACTTTTTTTAAATCAATATGCAAATTAGTTAAACCTGAAGTCAATAATATATAATACAGATATACAAAAGTTAATTTAAAGTAGAGGGGGGAGGGGCATTTAACCTCAGAAATTGTGGGAGAATTGTGCTCTAATTTTGCATTTATTCATATCGATAGATGAATGATTTTAATAAAAATGAACAGCTTGATGTATAACAAACAATAATGAGAGACTTGATAGCCATTTACTAGTCAATAACATAGGTAGATTTAGTGAATGGAAAAAATAGTGAAATGATATAAGTCAATGAAATAATCCTTTATTTATATAGATATGTTAATTAAATAGTAATATTATTCCTTGACTTTCTTTGGACATTATCAAAATACCAGGTGAAATCTGTATGTTACTATATAGAGCCATATGAAACTGAATTCTCAATTTTTATTGCATTGACTACTCTCTACTTATCTACTCTCTGCATTGTTCGTTTGATAAGACAAATATATTTAATCTATATAACTATGCTGGAGTTTATGTGTGTGTGTAATTGTATGTTTGGACATCTCAACAAAATAAAAAGATTCAGAGATCTAGTTTTAAAATGAACAACTGCAATGCCTAAACTAAAAACATAGACTGTATGAGGTTGACCTTAGATATCATTTGAAGTTGCCAAAAGTCATCAGAGGACAACATTTCCAGCCAAATGAAACAAAATGAAGTGAGATAGTGAGATATCTTTGAAATATAAAAACCTCACAATTGGTAAATTAGACAAGTTTAAAGTTAACCTCTGGTGACCCCAGAGATTATTAAAGGTAAAAATAATTTGTAGCCTTCATTATCTGTATTGCAACCAAATATCTTGGAGGTAATTTGGTATATGAGGATTACTTGAACAGAAAAAGATGTTATGATAGATGGTACTGAAGGTCAGCAAAGATAAATTTCTAATAAAAATAACTTGTTTCAGTCAGGCAAAAGAACTTAAAGGCTAAAATGTTTTCTAGATATAAAGTGGAAAGATTATACTGAATCAATTGCTAGGAAAGTTGGTTCACTGTGTTGTGCTAGACAATTTTTCTCACCAGAATCTATCTTACACATTTATAAATTTACCATTCATCTGTACATTGGATATTGATGCCACATCTGGTCTGATGCTTCTGCTATATATTTAGAGACTCTTGATAGAATCCAAAGAAGAATCTTGACCTGGGATCTCTGCTTCAGTCCCTTTCCCACCACCATAATATACCTTCCCTGTGCTTTTTCTATAAAAAATTTCATATTAATTGTTCTAACCTTTCTCTTTAGTACTTTGACTTTGTGAAGTTAAGTATAGTACTACATTGATGGCATGGTTTCATAATTTTACAATTGAAATGGCTTGATGTAACCATAAGTTCAATGCTAACAGTTTCTTCTCTCACACTTCTAACTTGTGGAACTCTCTTCCAGCCTCTTGCTTTCCAGTCAACGTTAATCTTCAAAAATTTCAATGCAATGTCAATCATGACCTTCTGTCTTCTTAATTGCCAGTTTTTTTTATTGTTCTCTCTTCCTTAATAATGTTTTTTTCTTATATTCTTTCACACTCAGTAACCCCTTGTATCTGAGTGGCTGAAATTGGGGGAAATAACCAAAAAAGAAATATTCATGAATTTTTTAAAACTTTTCTTTGGAGCACAGTATATAACCCTAAAAATGTTTCTGGATTTTCTTCAGCTGTTTTAAGTGTAAAAAAAATAGAAAAACTGCCAGTAGTTTTGTGAACTCTTGCTTTAAAGATTGATGCAATCAAATAAATAAAGTCAAAATTGTTTCTGTGAATTTTAAGTTGTACAAGTTCATTGACAAAGTTCCAGACACTTTTGAGGTTAATCAGAACCAAACTGAATTCCTTAATTCTCTTCAGTTGCATTGGGTTGCTTTTAAATGGCTTCAACTAAAAGTTAGAATGGCCATCATGCTTCTCAGAAATCTGGAACTTCCAAAGTTGTGCAATGGAACATGCCAAGCTATGAATAACAGTTTCTTCTCAGAAGTCAAGACAACTATCCAAACTGGGATAGGGAAAAAATATGAATTCATGCAACTTCCTAGTGATGCTAAGCTTTGCCATGATTAGCACCAAGACACAAAGACAATCTCTTTGGGTTATTAATCTTAATTTCTCCATGTTTTTCTCATAACTATGTTGGCTGTTCTAGGGTTGGGCCTCCAAAGAAACTCTTCATATTGGTATTCAGTGAGAGATGTGCATTAAAGTTGTCAATCCAGAAGTCCTGTGAACATAACTGCATCATTTTTTTGTTTTGGGAATCAGAATATTTTTCACTAACAGCTACTTTTTAATATGTAGATAATCATTTTTATTATTTGTTAAAGTTTGTAGAATCAAAGACCTTAAAACATTTCATCCTTTTCAAACAATGAAAATATCAACACAATCAAAAATGTCTATATAAATTATTAAAAACTTTATATCAATCATGCTCATGTCTAAAAAGCATAAGGCCATTTACATTGAGTCGGATTTATGATAATTTCTCTTTTGCTTCCTTAAAAGGTCACTTGCATTATCTTCAGAGAATGACTCCATAAACATAGTTTGTTCTTCATTTGATTATCTGAATGTGTAAAACTAATGAGCAGGCATCTAGGAAAACCCACTTCAGGCATCAAACTCTATTCTATTAATCGCCATAATATTCTTGAGACTTAGGTTATAAATACATTTTAACTCATCCTTAGCAAAAAAACCTTCATATCTTTGAATGTGAGTGAATTGAGGAATGAGATTATTAAAATGTCAGTCTTAAAAAAAGGATTACTTATTGATTCTGAGATTTTAATGAAATTAAATCTAAAGATTTTCATTTATACATTCTCTTTACTAAGTGAATTTGTCATACTACAGTGCGACTCAAAAGTGCTTGCACCTATAACATTTCTAGAAGATACAAATTTAAACAATTGTAATGGCTTGTGTAAACATTAGAATAAATATATTTAATTTAAAATGACATGTCCAACATGATATAAAGGTTTAATTAACAAATATCTCCATATTATTATTTATTTAAGGATTTCTATATATTCCAGGTGAATCAAATGTCTTTGCAGAAAACATAAATAAAACCAGAAATTAGATTTTTAAGCAAGCTGGCATTGAAGAAGTGTCAAAAGCAACACAAAATTTCATTCTCCATAGTATGGCAAAATTTTCTCCAATTTCATGTCCTCCGTTGAGCAAAATGAATTGCCTGAAGAGGTTAGAATGGGCAAACAATTACTTAAAAATTGATTTCCAAAGAGTAATTTGGACGGATGAAGCTCAAGCTACATTAGACGGCCCCAATGGTTGGAAAAGATGTTGGCTCATTCATAGTGGAACTCCTCACTTGCATTTTAAACACCAACAAGGCGGTAGTGGAGTGATGTTCTGGGCTGGAATTTATGGCTCAACATTAATTGAACAATTTCTTGTGCCAGAAGGACTCAAACTGAATTTAGCTAATTATTGCCAATTTTAAAAAAAATTTCATACCTTGGTTGATTCACAAAATGATGAGTTCCGTAATAATCTTGTTTATCAGCAAGATAATGCCTCCAGTCATGCAGCATGCTTTACCAAAGAGTGGTTGGCTAATTAAGGTTTTACAGGGGACAAGATTATGGTATGGCCACCACAGAGTCCTGATTTAAACACTATTGAGAACCTTTGGCCCATAGTAAAACCTTGAATTTATGAAAATTGATGGCAAGTTTCTAACAAGGATCACCTGTGGGAGTGCATTTTGGATGTTTATTCTAAAATTACAGCCAGCGAAATTAGGAAACTCACTTCATCAGTCAATAAACGACTTATTGAGCAAAATTCTAATTAATGATGTGAATAAATATTGAAATGTTAATCAACTGAACAACAATTTTTTGTTTCTTCAAAGTCACTTTCAATTTTATTACATGAAAACTACTAGTCAGAGTTGAGAGACTATAATTGATTTTATTTTTAATTATAAAATGGTATTTTTATAATAATTGTAGAGTTAAATGTCTATTATCATTTCAGATATTTTGTTAGCCAAGTGTTTTGAAACATGAAATCCACATTTGATTTTTAGACAACTATAAGGTTCAATGTTCAAGACTTTTATGAATCATAACATATATAACAGCTATAAGGTTCAATGTTCAAGACTTTTATTAACCATAACATTTATAACAACTATAATGTCCAATGATCAAGAATTTTATGAATCATAACATATATGACAGCTATAAGGGATCGATGTTCAAGTCTTTTATGAATCATAACATTTTCATACTTCCAATTTTCTTTCTTTGATTTCCAAAAGAAAAAGAAGACAAAAGAAAAAAAGTCAAATTCTTCAGTGACATTTGGTTTAATGAAATAGTGTGTATCTTATATGATAATCAACTACAGGAATATCAAAGAATAATACACAAACTTACACTTCAGTAACTGCCAAAAAATAAAAAAAATATGGAATTAAAAATTGCAAGAATGTATCATTTAAATACAACAGCTATTGAATGACTTGTTTTTTTATGGCTTATTTACCTCTTGCAGGTTAATTAAAACCAGAAAATATTTTTAGACTGAATTTTAGTATTTTTGGAAATAATAAGGATTTACTGGTACAAGTCCTAGTAATTAACTGATAGCAATTCACAATATAAATAAAGTGCTCTTTTACAAGTATTTTTGGCATGAATAATATATGAATATAAGCCAATCAATTTATTGCAATAATAAATATATAAGACCAAAACTATACTTTAAATACAAACCATTATTTTATGGCAACGACATAATCAACCAGCAAGAATGTTTTACTAATTTCCTTTTATCTTTTGCACATACACTGTAGATCCACTGAATAATGACGAATATTCCTAGAATTTTAAAAACAACAGCAATTCTCTTTTAATAAGTAATTTCATACCTTCCCTCAAAATTGAATGAAAAAGTACTTACCAGCATTGAGACCAAATACTGCTGTATATATACACAAGGTCACATAGCTCTTACACAGTGGACTCAAAGCAGTTGCAAGTCCAGTGATAATCAACGATATGTTGTTGATAATTAAACTGTCAACTTTACGAAGATCTGCTAATGCACCAGTCAAAACTCGTCCTATAGTGTTGGTAATTCCTATAAAGTTAAAATAAACACAAACAAATATAAACTGAACAAACATAAAATAAACTGAACATATAAACTGAATAATGAATTAATTCTGATTTATGGCACACTGCCTGTTATATAATGGTCATGTTTTTTTCAACAAGCTTATTTTTTAAAAAGAATTCCATAATTCAATTAGACATCAATATATATATATATATATATATATATATATATATATATATATTGCTGAAAAGCAATTGGTCTGCTGAACAAACATTAGATTTTTAGGGACAAGCTTCTTGGTTAGGGGCAAAAACATTTCAGCACCCCCTTGTATATACATAGTATAATGGTTCATAACACTAAAGCAAATAGCACAAAATTAGAAATAAATAAATTACTTCTAATAAGATTTAAGTTTAGGATCTCATCTTTCATGGCCAGCACTTTAACCACTTCAGCCATGGAAGCATTGATGATTAATAAGAGCACAACTCTGTAATCATTCTGCCATACCTTCCTCACAAATTTTCTATTCTCTCCTTTTTATTAGTAATGATTTTTAATTTTTAGATGTAGTATTTTCACTATTAGTATACTTTTATGAGATTTGCTCCATCTTACTTTTGCTTTTTATCATAATACTTTGGGTTGATGCACTCTACATTATTACCTTACTAGTTTTATTTCATCTTATTGTTGCTCTTTATCATAATAATATTATAGTATGTAAGAACTAATAATGAAGTAGCTTGTGACAAGACTTTGAAGTTTCATACCATGACAGGCCATTTGTCTTCTAATTCAAAAGCAATAATCATAAGATGAAGTAAAATTCATAATAAAATAATAATAATGTTAAGTATATTGATCTAACCATTTGTGAAAGATCAAAATGGTATTCACTAATCTTTTGGGTTGCTTCAACTTGTCAAATTAACAGAATGACTGCAGCTGAGTCAGACAGACAAATTCAGAAAGCCTAGACCAGCAAACTTCATGCATCCTGCCATCTCATTATTCACTTAACAATAACTCATATACTAGAAATGTTATTCATTGAACAGATGAACAATAATACTCTTTGATGAGTTTCTTCACTTTTCTTGTGCTTTACTTTCATCCTTAAGGCTTATTTCCTGCTAGTAAAGCTCATCTGGTTCCTTGAAAGTTGTAAATTCAATCCCTTAGTCATTTAGTTCAAGAATTGACCCCAGTTCACTTTTTCTTTTAATATAGACCAAAATAGGGCTTCTGTTCAAAATTCAATGGAGCCATAGAGAAACCCCATAACTTAATAAAAAATAGATAAAAATTACCAATAATTGACAGCAAGAAGGCTGCATTTTCTGGAGTGATGTTTAATTCTTCTGTGGCTCTATCTCTGAGAAAAACGAAAGGAATGAAGTATCCAAGGAACACCAAGATGTTTGCAAAACAGACAATTCCAAAGGCAGGATCTATGAGTAATGAGAAATCTAGCATCTCTCGTAAAGTATCTTTGGCTGCCTTGGAGATACAGATATAGTCCCATATCCAAGATTCCTTTTCCACCATTAGAGTGCCTGGGATTGTTGTAATGCTGGTAATATAAGAATTCATATCGGGTTGTGATTGAAATTGTGGTATGTGGATGATACTGCCACTGTAAAAGATGTCCTTCCTGTAGAGAGGTCGAGCATAATCTTCTTTGGGAACAATAAGGTCCTTGTTGGATCGGAAATTACTTACTGAAAAAAATATAAATTAAAAATGTCAACAACTTGATATCTTAAGCATTTTTCTCAACAAATCTTTTAATTAATAGTCTGTTAATTAATAGTTTGTTATATTGCAAAAAGACTTTTTTATTTATTTGATCGCATGGTAATGATGAAATTAGTTGAAATAATAATGGTGTAATTAGCTGTTTCCATGCAGGAAACATTTGGCATTCATTGACCAAACAGCATTATGAAATCATTTTCTTACACTGTTATTGCTGTTTCTAATATTAATGGGAGTTTCCTTGCAAACCTTTTGTTTTTGGTAGTGTGGAAAGTTAAGAGGTTGATTAATATATATCATTCTTTTCTCTTCTACTTGATTATATTATTTTCACTTCTAATTTGATACCCATTTTTGCTGTTGTTGTTTTTGGAAGTCTTCAAGTGATGTGTTTTTTTTAATTAATTCATAAATCTTTTCATTTATGCTCTTATAATAGCCAGTCTGTAAGATCTGATGAAGGTAAGACCTAAAAGACATTTTTAATCATTGAGCTGAGAAAACGGTTGAATAGAGATGACAGTTTAGACATCTCTGACTGAGTCAGACACCATGCATGATATCCATATGAGAGTCTAGATCTGACAAGGCTTTTAATTTATTGTTATATTCCATGCTAATAAGAATATATACTTGAAAAACATGGTGGATAAAATAAGTAAAGGTTTATTGTAAAAACCAGTACAATAAGAATAAAGGTAACAGTTATACACAAAGGTCATCGCAAGTCAATCCAGTAGTGAGTGCTACTATTGGAAGGTTGGTAGTTCTTGCATACGTCTTAGTCGTACTCAACAGATCCCAGCTATAATATTTAGCTACCTCTACCCCCCACGAGAGTTGCATGTGGCACAAGACCAGTTTAACATGGGTTCTCCGAGCTCATAGGCTCGGCCAAAAATAATCCCTTTTGAACCCATATAAACGGGTTCAGGGTCAGTCTACCTCCCCAAACGAGACTCTGCCCTTCAGCAGAGCTTCGTCCAGGTTCCTCTCTGCCCGAAAGCAGAAATTTCAACTGTTTAGCTGGAACAGGTTGCAGCTAGTATATTTAGCTACCCCCCACAAGGGTTGCATGTGGCACAAGGTCGGTTTAACATGGGTTCTCCAAACCTGTAGGATCGGCCAAAAATACTCCCTTTTTGAACCCGCATAAATGGGTTCAGGGGCAGTCTACCTCCCCGAACGAGACTGCCCTTTGGCGGAGTCTTGTCCGGGTTCCTCTCTGCATGAAGGCAGAGAGTTCGACTGTTTAGCTGGAACAGGTTGCAGCTAGACTCTGTAGTCCATTGACTTACAGATACTTATAGGTATTTACTACCTATAGTGTGGTCACTCATGGAGTTGACAGGTTATTCCATTACATCATTTATACAAATCATAAATTTATTTTCATGCTGACAGAAATTATGTATTTTTGATTCCTTATGGTATTTTCAAAACACATTTAACAAAATTTTTAATTCAATATATAAAGTTCAAAATTGGTGTGTCCACTTGAAACACTGAAAATGAATTAAAATTTCTTGTTTGTCCATGCATATGCAAATATTATGTAAGACTCTGATATCAGATAAATGCAATTTTATCATTTGTATCTACCAACATGTGTTTTATATCTTGCCCAACTTAGTGATTCTTGATTAATCAAAATAAGCAACTTGCATATTCTGCTTTAGAAATCAAATTATAAAAAAAACTGTATTTTGTTAATTGGTCTGTGATCTTTATAAATAAGAGATTTGTTGATAGCTTTTATAATTAAATTGTTTATTTATTTGACTAAAGCCTTTTTGCCCTTGTGAGTAAATGGAAGTCATGTATATATTTTTAATATGTAAAAGGTACTCAGAATTAACCTGTAGAAAAAGAATATGTATTAAGGAAAAAGACAATACAAAAACTGTAGTTTAGCTGACATATTTCATCCAATGTGGACTTTTTTAAGGCAAAAAAAATGAAATGAATTTAGAAAATGCTATTGTATAATCAACTGAAAAATTATGCCATTTATTTTATGTTTGAAGAGAATATTTTCACATGTAGAAATAATGTTTGTATTATTCTGTTGATGGATTCAACTAATTTCTTTTGATTTCTTGGTATATTTGTTGTGTACATTGGCTTGGGGGAGTAGTGATTTTGTTAGGAAAGATGATATTGGAAAAAACTTGAGCATAGATTAATATTTGGATAATATTCAATGGCAGTACTCTCAAGGATCTTCCTTCTGTGTGAATTATTTTCAATTTTTATGAGTGTACAATTTATAAAATCAAAATTGTGATTGAATTTATTTTTATGTATGACTAGTATAACATTTGTTAAGTTGTTATTCATCAGGTCTCTTTTGATATTTCTACACATGAAAATATTCTCTTCAAACAAAGTAATTGACATAATTTTTCAGTTGACCATAAGAATATACAATAGCATTTCTAAATTCTTCTAGTTGCTAACGATATTTTGTTTGTTGTTTATAGATACTTTGTTTCAATAAATTCATTTCATTTTTTGCCTTGAAAAGTCCACATTGGAAAAAATGCGTCAGCTAAAACTACAGTTTTCCTATTGTCTTTTTCCTTAATACATATTTTTAATAGTATATTTTGAAAATTTAATATTTATGAATTATCATATTTATGTTATATATGAAATAAATAATTACCAAAATGTTTAAACCAATTAAACTTCTTCAATTATAACAATTTTGTAAATGCCATTTTATGGCATGCATAAATAACTCAGACAAAGGAATAACTACATTGAGCAGTGAAACAAGTGAAAACAATTCAACACTGAGTTTTCTTGCTACTAACAGAGGAAAAAATGACAATATTTTTACAAGAATGTATCCATTGAATCGTAATATTAAAGTTGTTTTTTTTAATCTTATGAGAATTTTTATGATTTTATATTTATCCCTTGTAAGACAATCAAATTATTTATTCAATGTTAAATGGTCTTTTTGCAATATGATAATTAAACAAATATTAATCAAGACAAAAGTTAAATAGAAACAGAAATGAAAAATATAAAACTGCATCAAAGGTGCACATTAAAGTTAATTAATGCAAAGAATTACAAAATCATACACAAATATTATTTTTAAATATTAGAAAATTTAAGAAATCTCCATTTTAGAAGAAGTGAAAATTTAGAAAAAAGTCTTTTTTGTGAATTTGACCTGTTCATTTATTTCTTATTTCCTGTTAAACAACTTAAACTCACTTATGATAAATATGCCACATTAACTGAAGCCATGAGAATTCCACAGGTGTTGACAGGTTATACATTATCTTATCCCTCTGATATTCTATAACCCTTTGCCTGTATCTTCTCATCCTCACCCTTATCCCTTCCAATACAAATAAGACTATCCATTATCTCATGCCTCTGCTTTTCTATCACCCTTTGCTTGAATGCACAAATATTTTTTACTGCATTCCTCTTTTTTTTTTCTCTATTTCTCCATAAGAAAATTTAATATATTGCAATTTTTATGTCTATACATCCCTACCTGCCACTCTTTATGCCTTTCTTTCATATGGATCCCTTCTCCCCTTGATATGCTGATAAGCCAAACCAAACAACAAAAACTGAAAAAAAATATGAACAAAAACTTTTTTGTTCATATTTTGCAAACAGCAACCCACCCAACTTGATATGGAGAATCTTTTTTTCTGTGACTGAAAACATGTAGCACTATTTAAATGAAAGCAATCCCTGTCTGAAAGTTTGTTTTCAAATAATAACTAGAATTTCAAATGCTTATTTCTAAGGTTGGCCCTCCCAACTTGGAAGATTGGTGCAACACAATTTTCCTCTCCTCATTTTCTTCCATTTGGCTTTGTGTCATACAAAGCTAAGTAAATATTAGACTTTTAGGTAATGTAATTAAAAAGTAAATATCTCTTATTGATCAGATCAGCTTATATATCTTGGTAATCCTTTTGTTAATCCTTTTCTCTTACACAAAAGTAGAAGAGGAGGAAGGTATTCCTTAATCTATCTTCAAAAAAGAAGTTTCATAAGAAAGGCTTTTATGAGTAATTACTAAATAATAAATCAAGCTTTTTTTCATTCATTTATAAATAATTACTTTTAAAATGTTCTTTCATCCTAAGACAAAAACTATCATGCTAATGTCATTCTCATAGATAAGGCCAAAGCTGACTATTTTCAAATCCTGTTGAGAATGGTTATTTAAACTTTACATCGCAACTAAAGATATTTCACTGCTTCGTCTTTTTTCCAATGTTAAAAATTTCAAAAATTTTATTATTATTTTTTCCCCTTTAATCTTATGTTAAAATATACTAATGTATTCCACTCAGAAGCTTTGAATTTCTTGAGTACAAGACTGACTGCTTGGGGATAAGTTTAAATTCAAAGGCTCTTTGTAACCATATGATAACAAGCTAGGAAAGTATACATCACCTTGAAGCAGTGGTTAACAAAGATCATTTTTAGTGAGATATGTAAATGACTTCCTAACTATCATAGCAGAACATGATATGCAATGACTATTGCTGGATTGAGAAAATACAAAGGAAATCACATTTCATAACATCATTACTATTGTAATTAGTTTGATCCGAACTACGTGCCTAATATTTTACTTATAATTTCCAGCTGAATAAATATTGAAAAAACTACATCATGATCTCAAATATAGAAACCAATTTTTTAAGACATCTGATAAATTACTTATTTACAAACAGGTCATTTTCACAGAAAAAGACATGAATTTTAATTGTTGAATTTATGACAAAACATTTACTGAGTAAAGTTGGAATTAAAATTCAGATTTATTTATTTTGTTATCTTAGAGATGAATGAAAAGTTTATATCTTTTGCTTATGCAATCATTAAATAATCAAACACAGAAAAGAAATTCAAAAAGAACAACATTTAAGATGATAAGACAACTTGTGGTTGCTTTATCAAAGGTTTTAGATCA